ATAAGCCTTGATGATATTTTAAACTAGGTAGGTATTGTATAGTATGTACAATTTTTCCTTTCTGCTATACGCCTTGGTGATATTTTAAACTATGTAGGTATTGTATAGTATTTATAATTTTTCCTTTCTGCTATAAGCCTTGATGATATTTTAAACTAGGTAGGTATTGTATAGTATTTACAGTTTTTCCGTTCTTCTATAAGCCTTGATGATATTTTAAACTAGGTAGGTATTGTATAGTATTTACAGTTTTTCCGTTCTTCTATACGTCTTTGATGATATTTTAAACTATGTAGGTATTGTATAGTATTTATAATTTTTCCTTTCTGCTATAAGCCTTGATGATATTTTAAACTAGGTAGGTATTGTATAGTATTTACAGTTTTTCTTTTCTTCTATACGCCTTTGATGATATTTCAAACTATGTAGGTTTTTGTATAACTGGGAACGGCACATTAAGTTACTATATCAATTAATAGGCTAGTTTTCAGTCCTTAGCTACGTAGGTAACCCGTTTTGATTAGAAGGGAATGATGATAATAAATGACTTTTTCTTTCAGGAAGGCGTACTTGGTAACGGTTTACGAGTAGCTCCGAGCAACGATACTGTTGTCCATAGCAATAACAGAATTGCTCTTCATAAAGTCATGAGAGTTAAAGAACATTCTGTCACGTTGCCGGACACGTGTAAGTTAACGCGCCAATAAAAGCGCGTGATAATGATATCTTTCTAGTTAAATTTAATAAACAGAAGAATAACTCGATTTCTACCTTTAGGTAACGAAATGATCTTGAATCAGGTTGCTCCATCGAAAATCGTATTTTTGCAAATTTAACTTGTTTGATTTTGGCCATTTAAATTTTGCTTTTGTTTTTAATATGTGAATAGATTTCAGTGTGATATAACAGATCACGAATTTAGTTGTTCAATTATTACTTTTGTTTTATGCTTCATATTTTGGTGAAAAACACACTTTCCAAACAATTACATTTATAAACTGTTTTATCTGTGAAATATTTTAAGTACATGAAATTCCTCGTCGCTTGGTTCAGTACAATTTTTAATCCTACTTATCGCAAAAATATTTTCTTAAGATTAACGTAATTTGGTCTTTACTAACTCAAATATTTAATGGCACATTTAAACGTTTTAATATGAAAAACAAGCGTATATTACAAATCTTAAGTTCATAACAAGCTTTTAATATAAATCTTTAATAGTTAAATAGGGTTCTAATACAAATATTTAGCAGTTATACAGGTTTCAACTATAAATATTTACCAGTTATACAGGCTTGTAATACAAATATTTATCAGTTATACAGGCTTCTAATATAAATATTTATCAGTTATACAGGCTTCTAATAAAAATCTTTATCAGTTATACAGGCTTCTAACACAAATATTTATCAGTTATACAGGCTTCTAACACAAATATTTATCAGTTATACAGGCTTCTAACACAAATATTTAGCAGCTACACAGGCCTCTAATACAAATATTTAGCAGTTATACATGCTTCTAATACAAATATTTAGCAGCTACCCTGTATAACTGCTAAATATTTGTATTACAAGCCTGTGTAGCTGCTAAATATTTGTATTAGAGGCCTGTGTAGCTGCTAAATATTTGTATTAGAGGCCTGTATAACTGCTAAATATTTGTATTAGAAGCCTGTTACTAAATATTTGTATTAGAAGCCTGTATAACTGCTAAATATTTGTATTAGAGGCCTGTGTAGCTGCTAAATATTTTTATTATAAACCTGTATAACTGGTAAATATTTGTATTAGAAGCCTGTGTAGCTGCTAAATATTTGTATTAGAGGCCTGTGTAGCTGCTAAATATTTGTATTTTTAAAGATTAGGGAGTATTAAAGCGCCTTCTCTTTATTACATAGGCCTAAGCCTAATTGTTAATGAAAATTTTGACTCTTATTACATTTTTTTCATTATATTTATCATGATAAACGCTTCGGTAGAAGCACGTGAATTTGAATTGTTTTTAAGCGAAACCTTTGTTAAGATTATAATTTTTACAATCCTTGATTTTATCCCAAAAATTATATAAGCATATAAAATTTTCTAACAGTCCTGTTTCGTGGTATATGATTAAGAAAGAAAACTTTGTATTGTGGTCTTAGATTTTTGTTTTACACGTATCACAGTCTAAAACTTATATTATTAGCTTGCATCATGTCCTAATGTTTTTATAAGAGGCCGTTATTGTGGGAAAATATTTGTATCAGAAGCCTGTGTAGCTGCTAAATATTTGTATTAGAGGCCTGTGTAGCTAGAATCAGAATTATCAGGCCGATTTGATTGTGTGCGTCGCAAAGAAATACTGGGAACAACTGTTCGGAAAATTATAATTAATCATATTAGCTGGAGAAAAAACATTATCGAAAAAGTTATCCTAATTTGTACTTAACGTTACAATTGTCTCCAAATAAGTTAATCTATCACGCTATTCGTATTGACTGCAAAAAAAAAAGTTGAGTAAATGTTAACAGAATATTTCTCGCATATCAGAAGAAAAGGATTTTACTAGTGAAATTATCTGTTGGAATAGTATATGTTTCACGAGATAAATTACAATTTTGGAACTAAATACAATCATTTAATGTAAAAAAAACAAATGTGGAAGTACTAGCCGTGATCGATTCAATGCACAGGAAATTCTTTGTTTCAGAACAAGATATAATCAAATATTTTGGTGTATTTTACAATGCCGTAAGTAATTTCTACCAATAGACTATTTTCATAGAATATTCAAACTATGAATTAATTTTTAAGAAATACATTATTGTTTTTTATAATTTTTTTCTTTTTGCTGAAACATATTCCTGAGGACATATTGGTTTGTTTATGTTTGTTGTCGTTTTTTTTGTATGTTTGTGATATATATATATATTACTTGGTTCTGAAAAGGCAGTCACAGATATTTTACAAAATATTATGATGTACTTAAGACATAAACAAAGCTTTAATTAAAAAGAATAATAAATAAAGTATATATACTTATTTTTACATTTCAATAAATCGGGCCCGGCATGGCCAGATGGGTAGGGCGCTCGACTCGAAATCTAAGGGTCGCGGGTTCGAATCACCGTCCCATCAAATATGCTCGCCCATTTTAGCCGTGGGGGCGTTATAATGTGACACTCAATCCCACTATTCGTTGGTAAAAGAGTAGCCCAAGAGTTGGCGGTGGGTGGTGATGACTAGCTGCCTTCCATCTAGTCTTTCACTGCTAAATTAGAAACGGCTAGCGCAGATAGACCTCGTGTAGCTTTGCGCAAAATTCAAAACAAACCAAACCACACCTTTTTTTCAGCCTCATACCCTAGTGCGTTCTGTCATCAGGGCCAAGTAGCTACAAGTTCACGTGACCCTTTGAATCGCAATGTGTATTTCAGCGTTTAGCAAAGAGAAAAATTTGCGAATTTTTTCGTAAGAGATATATGCTCAATCTTACGAGGAAATCATCCAAAATTGTTTGTATATATGGAAAAAGATTTTTTTCTTTTTAAAATTCAGATGAAAAGAACAAGGCCGATAAGGAAATCATAAAATCGATAGTAAAAAAAAACTCACCAATCAACTGAGAAAAGCGATTAGTGATTATTTGGCCCTGTTTACGACAACACAATTGGACCAAGGAATTATACTACGTGCATTCGTAAAGCAACTTATAATACTGAAGTATTTCGCGTCTTTCTCTGTAGTTTTAATGGTGAAAGATGACTTATTCATTTGTTATTGTTATTTGAGAGTGTAACTTTGCGATTCTTACCTATTTCAATTGCTACGAGATCTTCTTTTTTTTATTTATTTATTATGCTCGACATGGCCAGGTGGTTAGGGCGCTCGACTCGCAATATGAGGGTTGCGGGTTCGAATCCCCGTTCCACCAAACATGTTCGCCCTTTCAACCGTGGGGGCGTTATAATGTTACGGTCAATTCAACTATTCGTTCGTAAAAGAGTAGCCCAAGAGTTGGCGGTGGGTGGTGATGTCTAGCTGCCTTCCCTCTAGTCTCACACTGCTAGCAGATAGCCCTCGTGCAGCTTTGCGCGAAATTAAAAACAAACCAAACAAATCTTTTTTTATATATTTCACACAGACAGTCTGTTTTCCTTTGAATCATTTTGATGATTTATTAACGGAAGCTTTTGTGTTGCAACCGAAGAAGCCTTTTCCACTAATAAGTACTTTTTATGATCTAACAAGCAAGCAGATTCTTTACGCCTGTCACCATGACAACCACGACACAAACACATTTCGTGTAACATATCAACCTTCAATTCGTATCCATCTTCTTGGGGTTGTAGATATTGGAAACTGAAATCCGTATTTTTATATTACCTACAACCTTCGGTAAACGTTTGTTATAATTATCACTTGGCCTTGCGTATATACAAATGTTTTATTTTTTCACTCTTTTTTTTTTCATTTCAAATATTGTCAGTAGCAAAATTTTTGCCTTCTTTACAATCCTTGTACTGTTTCTGGTCACGTAAGAATCCTTAAACATGTTTTACGATTTCAAACTCATAAATATTTGTACATTTTAAGGTTTTATATTTTGAGCATCTATCTTACCCAATTTAATAGACACTTAGTTGAATTATGACGTCATGGCGGCCCAGCAACAAGCTCCTAACTACACGCACTCTGGTGGCAACATT